TATGACACAAAAAGATTAATATATCATAAACAGATATGTATTGGCTCACAGTTATGGAAGCTGGGAAGTCCATTATTAGGGAGCTAGCATCTGGCCGGGGCCTTTTTGCCATGTCATAACAAAGGGAAGGCATCATATGGTAGAAGCAAGCAAGAATGAGAGCACAAAATAAAGGATCCACTCCTGTGAAAATGAACCTGCTCCCTCATAACACCATTCATCCAGTTCATGAGGATGGAGCCATCAGGAGCCATCATGACCTCGTGCATGCCAGGCAGGCGCTTGCACCACTGAGCTATATCCCCAGTGACCTCTATACTCTTAAAATTGCAACTAAATTTGAACATTAGTTTTAGAGGGGTCATTCAAACCATAGCTTGAAATGAAACAGAATTTTTTTTTCTTTTTTTTTTTTTGGTTTCTTAAGACAGGGTCTTGTGGTTCAGGCTGGCCTTCCACTCACAGCCTCCCAAGTGCCGGGATTACAGGCATGTGCTACCATGCCTAGTTTTAATTTCAAAATTAACAGAGAAGTTCTGATTTGTTCTTATATTTCACTTTGGAGGCCATTTTTACACGGTTTTCTCACCAAAAAGCAGTCAAACACATTTTAGAACATGTGTAACATGTACACCACTGTTAATTACTGAAGAGAAGACATCAAGTACAGTATTTGGTTGTACCCGAGGAACCTAAAGATGAGTGTAATTTGAAAGCATGAGCGACTGGTGGATGGATTATAGAGAAATCTTGGAGGAGGAAGTAGAGTGCTGAGAGCATAGGGGAAGAACAGGAGCAACATAGATTCAGTGACATTTGAACTGGGCCACTGATGAGTGCAGATGGCCATTTATTTGATGTTAGATGCTAGGGAAGATTGAACTAATATTTATATATATTTTTATATATATTTATATTTATTTTTGAGTACCGGGGATCAAACTCAGGACCTTGTGCTTGCCGGGCAGGTGCTTGTGCCACTGAGCTATATCCCCAGCCCTTGAATTAATATTTTAAAAATCAGTTTATTTTAGGCAGTAATGCAGGTACCCATTATTTAATTCTTAACATAGCCATAAAGGGAGATGCAAGAATGGGCTTGGGTATTCTAAACCCCATTTTATAAGAGGATTGAATTTGGTTACATCTTTCTACGAAACCCTGTTCAATCATTACAGGCAAAGGAACTACATCTGTTTTTGTACAGTGATACTTTCTTTGCTTTCTTCATTGAAGACAAAATGTATCTCTACAACATTGCTGTGTGCTACATAGGCTTTTGGGTAACTAAAGGATACAATTGTAAAGGTTGGCAAAGATGCTTCCTTAAGAATCTTTAGTGCCAGTGATATATGTTAGAAAATTTCTCCTAAATATCCAGTCTTTTATTTTCTCATAAGGTTTTGATTACACTAGCTTCATTTGTGAGACTGCTGCAGTTGGTTCATTCTAACCTGAAATTTTCTTTCTTAGTGTTAAGATAGGAGTACAGTATAATGAAGGTAGACTCATTTTTGCTTTCATAACATTAGAATTTCTTAATAAATGTTAACATACATTTTTAAAAGGTTGACTAGAATGGTGGAGGAATTTCTACCAAGATTTATTACCATTAATTATTTGTGAATTTTAGTATTTTTACTTGCTGCTTTTCTCTATTTCATTTTCCTGAATATGAGGAGTAAGTGTATCTGTAGTGGACCAGTAAGACTAATATATAACCCCTTTATTTAAAAGGCATCTTTAGTTGTGATGTGGATCACTTTGATTTGGACAAGTTGGTAGCCATACTAATCTTTTAGCTCTGGGAATTTTAGTATAGAGAATATTATTTTAAATAAATGAGTAAAGAGAGTTTAAAATTTTTTTGTTTGTTTCTGGTACTGGGAATCAAACTCATGATGGTGTGCTTGCCAGGCAGGCGCTGTGCTGCTGAGCTAAATCCCCAGCCCCAGTTTAAAATTGTAGTAGATTTTAATCAGAATGAACAATTTGTGTTGTGTTGGCTTGTAAAATTTGGTGACTTTTGTGATGAATACTGGAAGGTGGTTTTTTTTTTTTTAATTCCTCCTCCTTCAGTACTTTGCCTTTTTTTTTTTTTCTCCTGTTTGTGTTGCTGAGGATCGCACCCAGTGCCTTGTGCTTGCAGGATATAATCTCTACCACTGAGCATCATCCCCAGCAGTACTTTTGCCGTTTTATGTTCCTTGGCAGCACTATCTCATATTCTTCAATTTATTCCTAAGAATGATAACTAAAGGAGAGACAGCTCATAGTGTCTGCTGACATTTTCAGATGTTTTAAACCTTGCTACTGTCACCAGGTTTTGGAGTCCCAGTGTCTCTTTCTGGAGGGACTTTCTCGACTTTCTCTGTCCTGAGCAAAGAATTGTTCCAGACAAGTGCAAATGATAGCAAAAAGTTTTATTAAAGGTGGGAAAAGAAACAGGCTTTGCAGAAAATGTTTGGGGCAAGTAAAAGTAGGAAAAGAAGTACACCCTACAGCATGAGGGTGGACTATCTGTGCAAGAGAGAACTCAGTGTGGTCTGTCCTTTTTGTGTCACCCATTGCTCTGGCTGATGTCAGGTCTAGGCCATTCTGTGGAACACCTGCTTGAGTTCTGCCTAGAAGTCCACATGCAGGGGTTTGGGAGCTGCTCTGGGCATGTGTCCTGGGATTTTCTAATTAGCCGGTCACACCTCCTTCCCCAGGCAAATGCGCCACACAGTGTGCCTTGTCTCCACTGCCTTTTACTGTCTTTTCTTCTTCCTGCTTTTCCTGAGCAGTAATGTGGCAGCATGTTTTCTTCCTTTCTCTTTCTTTACCCGTTCTCCAAACTGCCTGCTTTCTCACCTTTGCAGGTTTGCCTGTGCTTTGGTGCTTAGTGCTGTGAAGGGTGGGAGTGCTCAGTCAGGGCTGCTGAGTGTCCCAGTCCTCGGAGCTGTGCGCCAGCCAAACAAGTTTGAACTATAGTTTCATCTGCTTCAGATGGACATTGATAAGAAATGTATTACAGGGATATACAGTAGTCCTTCTTTCTTATTCATGGTGTATCAATTATGTTTTAATTTGACTATTTATAGATATATCTATTTATAGATATCTTACCAATTTTAGAGACTAGATGAGGTTTTAGTTAAAAACCAGCACTTCGGCTGGGGATATAGCTCATTGGCACAGTGCCTGCTTGGCAAGCACAAGGTCATGAGTTCTATTCCCGGTACCAAAAAAACAACAACACTTTTTTCATCAATGAAAATTGATCCTCTTCCATATTGTTTATTGTATAAGCTTCTAGGACTTCTCTCTAGCTGGGCTGTATGCTCATGTATTAAGAAGAGTAATAGTATCTCTTTGTATTCCTCAGGAGCATTTTCTTCTGGAGCTGTCAGATCTTTAGGACTAGTGCTCTCATAAAAACGTGATTTAAGAACTCAGTGTGAGATGCTCATAGATGGTTTGAGATTTTAGATACGGTCTATCTGTAATAAGCAGAGTTTGTTGTTAGAAGTGAAAGAGAAAATCTACTTTGGAAAGAAACTCAATTAACAATGGAAAAGAAGTATGAATGTCTGATTCCTGTGGCCCAGTGACTAAGAATTACTCAGAGTCATTCTGCCCCTAAATGTTTGGGCTGAGAGTGGGAGATGGGGGCATGTTTCCAATGAAGTGCACCTAAATCTGCCCCTTAAGTGGATGATACTTGAAACGTTAAGCCCAGACATGCTGTCTGCATAGTTCCACCGTCCTTCTGTTGTCTTTGAATGTTTATTTCAGAACCAAGGTATGAACTAGGAAAGTGAATTGACCACTAATTTAACTGGTGGTGACTTTTAAGCCTTTAAATTGATCTTGTTATCCAGAACAAATTGCTTATACTAGTAATGTAATATTTGAGGAAACTCATTGGCTGCTTACTCTCTAGACTGCTTTTCTTAAAAATACATAAATAGGCAGAATGAAATGAGATCATTTTAGGCTAGCAAAGACATTTTTACAGGTTAGAATTTTTTTATAGGATTTGAATGTTGAAAGTATGAATTAAAACTATTTCTGTTAAGTCAGTACAACCCCCACAAACAGCTCACTTCATAATAGCCTGGTGCTTACATCCTCTGTGGTCCTATACAGAATGATAAAAAGGATTAAAAGTTTGTTCCAAACTTTTGTTGAGTTTAAAATACTCGTAAGTCATCTTAGTGAAAAGATACATAATGAAAATCAATATCTTGGTTCTTTGGAACTCCTTTGGAAGAATACCAAAGATAGTTAGTAAGCTCAGTGGTCTTCCTACTTTACAATATAATCACATTGAAGGATAGGGTCAGATTCTAAGAGTCAGGCATATGAATTGAAACAGGAAGCAGAATCAAAGATGTTAAATGTTCCCCGAACTCCAGGCAGTATATGGACATTCAAACTAGGTGACCCCTTTGATCCCTTCCACCTCTCATAGTATATGCATCAGCTTCAGCATGTCTGAAGAGGCAGGAGGCAGCTCCATGCGAGACAAGTGTGAAGGCCAAGGACACTGCTTTCCTCTCCTTATAAAGAAGGAAGGTCTGGACTGAAGTCATAGTTTGCACATCTTTAAGCAGATCACCTGGACACAGAAAACTGTCTTCACTCAATTTAAAAACACTCAAGATTATGCATCCTGTCTGCTATACTCCCCACCACCTTTCCTTACCCTCCCGACACACAAAAAGTCTTAACCATGGGTCAGCTTATATTGACCTTTTTGGGTAAAAGACTTTATTTCTTTGGAGTTCAGAAGCATGAATTTGTTTTCTGAAAAATCACATGCCATTGGATGGCCTTTAACTTGACATGTGACTAAAACTTTTAATAATTCCATTTTCTACAAATGCTACCTTTATAATTTTTATTAAAGATGACAAAACAGAAACCACTTCCTCTTTCATTACATTTTCTGCTTTCATGTTCTGTCATTCTGAGATCTTTTTTTCTTTCCCTCTCTCTGTCTTCTTTTCCCCCAGCTGTCGGCAGCATCCAGCCCCTCCAGTCACAGTCCTCACAGAGCTTCAGGAAAGGACCCTTTTGCAGAGCTCTCTTTGGAGGATTTCTTATAAATCACTTTAGGTATTGCTGCTTGTTGGGGGAGATGTGGGGCCTTAAATACTTATTAAAAGTTACCAGTCATTAAGCACAATTCACTCTGCTCCTCCTTTGTTTCTTTAAAGGGCTCAGGATTCCCTCTGCTTTCTACACCTCCTTTATTCTTCAGATGAAGAATAAAAATAGGTCAAGAAAAGACATAGGAGAAACAACTTTGGGAAAATACCTTTAATATAATTAGAAGATGTAAAATTAAAGAAACATCTTACATGTAGAAGCATCTGTTGCTCACAGCAGATGAATGAGATCAATACCACCCTTCAGAACTAGATGTTTTAGTCAATCTCCAGAGAACAGTTTTGCACACTGTAGAGAGCTTGATGGACACACCTAGTTTTAGCATAAGGGCCAGGATAATGAAGAATTCATTTCAGTAATTTCTTGAAAGGGTTGTATTTTATGTGTAACTTTTCATTTCAAGACAGTAACACTTTTTTTAAAAATAGCTTGTTTTTAAATTAAGGAGAGATGAATACTTAAGCCCTTTCAATTAGAAGAATTCTGTATATGATCCACACCGCCTTGTTTGCTGGAAGACAGTATTTATTCTCGGTGCTCTGACCCCCCATTTACATTTACCTTCTGGACCTTTGGGCCTTTATACTCTTCTTATTTGGCAAGTGTATTAGCACATCCACCTCAGTAGTATCTTTGGATAGACAGTGTAAGAGAAACTGAGTGCCACGTCTTTGAGTGAATGCTGACTCCCCATTTAAAACACTCATCTACAGGTCTTTCAGATTTTGACTTATGTTAGTAAAGAAATAATTTAGTCAATATAACATTACTTTTCCTTTTATTATCTAGTTTTATATTGTTTAGGAATAATAGTTTAAATGTTGTCATCCCAAATGAGATTTTACATGAAATATTTGTGCTTATGGACAAATATTTTGAATTTACTATGGAAAAGTAGCGTTTTGAACCTCTTTCTCCCAGTCCCCTCTGCCACCCCTTGGTTTTTAGTAATTAGAGGAATATTTGTCAGTTCCTACAGTTACGTGTTAGAAACTGAGTTCTGGCTTGCAGTAATCAGTGTTCATGATAAACATGTTGTGAGCACTTCTGAGCCATTTGAATGATTTTTATTTGAGAGAAGATTTTTATTTTTATTTGAGAGAAGACATTTTACAATGTAATGAATTAAAATTTCTTTTTTTTTTCTTCCAGATACAGTTTATGTAACTAGATGGAAGAGAATGGGATTATTCCAAAAAGACAAGTGCTCAAGTGGCGAATCCTTACTTCCAGCAAAATCCAAACTGCTGTCTCTTAAACTCTTCTTCCATTAGAATGCTACAGTAACCCAGTGAAGGCCCATGAAGGAAATTGGTACTAGTTTATAGGAGAACCTATCAATACAGTTTATAAAGCCAAGAATTGCCATGATTTAAGACTAAGATCTGTCTTTTTGGTGACTAACCCTTCACTTCTTTCAACTCCTATTAATACCCATAATCAGTAACCTATCAAGAAAAGCCCTTATTTGGAAAGTGTGAAATTCGTATTTGGAAAAGCTGCCTGGAGAGAAGAGCTGTGTCTTTTACTGTAATTCAACAGGACTTGTTGGGGGATCAAAATCATAATTCTTAATTATGCATTATCTTTCTTTTCTCCAGTCCTCACAGACACAGAAACCATAACTAAAATTAACTTTCCTTTTTTTAAAAAAAAAATTTATATTCAGTTTGCAGTAGACATTCCTTAAGTATTTGTATTTATTTATGATTATCAATTTTACGTAACATTAATATTGTATCAAACCTCCTTATGAGAATGAGTATGGATGTATACAGTATGTTTGATTTTTATCCACAAGAATGAATCTGATTCAGAATGCTTTTCAGCTGACATACAGAGCACTAAATATTCTAAGGCAAGTCCATAGGTCTGAATCTCTTCAGAATTCTCAGTCTCTGTGGGATTTAGGGAAGCATTAAAAATGCATTAATCCTTATAGTCAATTCTGTGCCTAGGGTTTTGCAAGGAACAGTTCACTGACTAGGAAAAGCACTACATTTTAAATTCAGCATTAGTGCATTGGGAAGGATCTTTACTGCTTTGTGCTTGGCATGTCATTATTTTCCATTTGACATTAGGGCCTTTCCAAAATGAATGTGAGGAATTGCTTTCACTTCAAGACTTTCCTTCTTTTCAGTAAAACTCTAGGAGGTGTTATCGGGGGAGGGGGAGAGGGACAAAATCCTTGAATTTTTATTTGGCTTGTGCCATGTTATGATCATGTACCTTTTAAATAAGGGGGAAATAGTATCTTTAAAGTTAATGTCTAGCCAAGAGTTTAGATAACGAAGAATTAAACTGCACTGTTGATCGGTGCTTTGTGTAAATACATCTTAATGCTTGGGTTGAGATGGGCCTTAAGAAGGACAGTTCATTGTAGGAAAGCAATTCTGTACATGAGTTTAAGCATACTTGTTGCATTGTCTCTGCAGATTCTATTTTTGTTTACAATATTAAAATGTATGTTAGCAAAATGGGTGGATTTTCAAATAAAATGCAGCTTCCACAAAACTTTTGGTATGGTATTCTGGTCTGAGGTGCATTTTCTTTTTTCTGTTGTTTTTTATCATCAGTACAATCATTTTTGCTAATAAACATGTGCCCAGGTGATTATATTTACTGATTTAATAAAATATAAAATTTCTGTTTTATTTAATTTCCAAAAAGATTTACCTTTGCGGTTTTTGTTATCTTAGATCCCTCTTGGTAAACTGAAGTGTTTATTCAAATTATTCATTTTTACCTTCTGATCAGATGCCTTTGATCAGGTAGGTTTAAGAAGGAAAATTCTTTTGAGTTTGACATCTCGGTGCATATGATTACGTCCACTAAAGAACCCTGTCTGCGATGTTGCATACTGAATACCTAGTAGGATTCAAAGTTATGTGATAAGAGGAGTAAAAGCTTCGCATTGGTAAATGACCACATAATGTGTGCTGTGGTTAGAAAAAATAGTCTGTAGTAGGTATGCTTTGTTAATCTTACTGATTTTTAAGTTTCACTGTTAAACCATTTCCATATAAACTAGGAAATTTTACTTTTAAAAGTTAGCCTCCTTAATATCACACATTTTGATTTGTCTCTTTTGGTGTTTGAGTAGATGTTAATATTTAGGTCTGTAGCTTATATTTTATATTACCTTATTTTGGTAGTATATTTCAGTATGTGAAAAGCTTTATATCGATTTCCATTTCATGTTCAAACTTCACCCTGACTCTGCTGAGCAGAAACTACCCACACTCTAGCTATTTGCAGTAAGTGCCCACATTCATACACAAGCAGTTAGCAGAGTCCAGTACTTGGCTTTATATCCACAAGCCAACAGAATTTTATCCCTGGAAAGTAGGTCTTTGGAGGATGCATCTCCTTAGCTAAAATTCATATAATTTCAAAGCTCTTCTCTCTTTAATCATCATCTACAAAATGTTTCCAAACTGAAAAATTCAGTACTGATGCAGATACTTGTTCTTTAAAATTCCATAGCGGGTTGGGCTGGGGGTTTAGCTTAGCGGCACAGAGCCTGCCTGGCAAGCCCAAGGTCGTGAGTTCGATTCCTGGTACCGGAAAAAACAAACAAACAAAAAATGTGTTCTAAAATTCCATAGCGGGTAAACAGAAAGCGAAAAGCTGATTCCTCCAGGGCGAATATGGCTCCTGGGTGCTAGTAGTGACTGAGTCAGAGTAGGTAAAATTTCCTAGTAAACATGTGTGCTACACTGAACTATGCCGCTAGCCCACAAAAAAGCTACAGTAATTTTAAAGTCGGTTTTAAAATTGTGAGAAGGGGCTAGGGATTTAGCTCAGCGGCACAACACCTGCCTGGCAAGCGCAAGGTCATGAGTTTGATTCCCGGTACCGGAAAAACAAAAACAAAGAAAAAAGTAAAACTGTGAGGGATTCACCTTGGGAACTAACTATGGCTGATGGCCTTCCCGGTCAGGAGTCCTGCTATGCTTGAGCTTGGGACCCTTGGCAGCTGTCCTGTGCTCTTTTTAAACAAGCACTGAGTATTGTACTTTTGGCCAGAAGCTCTGGGAAGGAAACAGATGAAATCAGCAGCCTCCTAGTCCCTGCCATTCACTTAAACTCCAGGCTGTCCAGAAAGGCTGACTTCCTTAGACTTTGAAGAACACTGTGTAGAAGCATCACGTTAACCCTGGCACTGGTAGGTAGCTGACTGGCTGTCTTTCAAAGTACAAAGTGAAGTCTGTATCTGATCATTTTTGTCTTGAAGTACAGTTGAAAAAAGCTCTTCACTTCCAAATGTACTGGAAGGAGAAGAAAGCAGTGCAGTAGAAGAGAAAGGACCACTGGAGATCCAAAGGAGCCCAGCCAGCGGGTGTGAGGTAGGTGCAAGGGTAGCTGCGCTTACTGCTTGGTATTCATGACAGTTGTCACCAGGAGCTAGTGTTTTATGAGACCAGTGTGCACAACCTACAGTTAGTTCATTTGGACAGAATTTACATCATGTGTGGGCCAGAAATAGCGATGAAGAAGTGAGGGTTCACTTTGTCTTATAAAGGTATGGTAAATTAAAATATGATCATGCCCTAACAGACAGGAGCAGAATAGGACAGTAAGCCCAATAACAGATGCTAACCCTCCAATAGTCAGTGTTCCATTTGTGTAACGCCTTAGAACAACGGAACATAGTACTTCCTTGAATTTTTATATGGAACATCAATGTGCTGGGGCTGGTGGCTGACACCTATAATGCCAACACTCAGGAGGCTAAGACAGGAGGATTCTGCCTGAACTACATGATGAGACCCCATCTAGAAAAAGAAAACATAAATGTCATGCAAAAATTCAAAACAGAACTGCAATCTTTGGCATAAATGCGTTAAAATGTATGATAGGGTAATATGTCGAAAGAATAAGGGGGGAGAAGCTCATTGATGTCGAAGGCTTTAATCCCCAGCACACAAAAAGACAAAGAAAAGAGACTTAATAGTTTAGCCAACAGCAGATACCTGTTCAGAGAAAAGTAAAGGAAGGGGTTGATTGCCTCCTTCATAGTCCAAAATAACAAATGGGTTAAATGATTTAAGAACTTACACAGATTTTAAAAAATAGGTGACTAGTAGTCAAATAGGAGAAGGAAAAAATGTGACGAAACAGTTTAAAGAAATACAAGCATGAAAAAGTTCATGTGTATTAATAATGAAAGCGTACAAGTGAAAACAGTGATGCTTGCTTCTCAAGTGGAAGACCGTTGGTGGTGGTACACTTTTAGGTATATAAAATCCCACTTTGGGATAGATCTCTCCCTGAAGCTACAAAGCAGCCTTTGTCTCACTAATCAGTTTGAGTCAGGAGATAGCGAGTAGTAATTACAGAGACTTATTGCAGGTGTTTCTTGCTAACTCCAGGTTAGAGGCGTTCTACCAAATGTGCTGCCGATGCCATGACCACCTAAGGGGAAGAAGATACGTCTTTTTCTTTCGGGGGCTGGACTTTTCCACAAATGGGAAGAGTACTGGTTTCACATACTTAGGAAAAACAAGATTCTTTTTTGGGGGTACCAGGAATCAAACTCAGGACTTGCGCTTGCCAGCCAAACGCTTGTGCCACTGAGCTACATATGCCCAGCCCAACAAACAGGATTCTTTGTCAGCCACCCAACAGAGAAGGCTTCCACTCACCAGCGTTGCTCTACCGTCTTACTGGAGATTCAGGAGTTAAGCGGGACTTCACAGGTCCCTTATCCTGTGGGAAACGACAAGAGTGTGAGGAAGAGTACCCTTAACACTGGCTGAGATTACTAAAGGAAAAACAGTGTCAGAGTAAGAAAAGCCAAGGTGAGTCCCAGAGAACACATCCATTATTAAAGGATGCGAAAAGGTGAGACCAGGGAAACAATCACAGCTTAGCGAGGAGAGCCAAGAAAGGTTTCCAGGACATAACTGAAGAAGTAGAGAACGGTCAGCACAAGTAAAATGACCAAAAACTGTCCATTGGATCCAGAAATTAGGAACTTGAACCCTATCTCTAACTGCACAGCAGAATAAGCAGAAGCAAAAGCAAGACCACGTGGGTTTGAGAGAAGATTGGGAAAGTGTGGAGGTACCAACCTTGGGTGTGAGCTAAAAGAGGTAAGGGATAATCAGCAAAGGCCATGCAGGCTGTCCAACGATGGGTTTAAGATAACAAGTTTATTCATTCCTTCATTGAATATCCTCAATATGCCAGTAGTTACAGGTGGCATTTTTTATACTTTTTATTAATATGTAAAAAGTTCATATAAATGGGCAACTTGATAAATTTTCATATGCTTAATAAGCACATGTAAATAATACCCAAATGAAGAAGAAAAAACCTACCTCCTCCCCTTCCAGTCACTACTTGTTTTCTGAGGGCAAACAGTTTCCTGACTTCTTGCAATATTAGTTTCGTTCTTTTTGTGCCTCACTGGCTTATTCATTAATCACTATTTTAATGGAGCTGTATGAAGCTTCTTGTGTGTCCAGGTCATTGGCAGTTTTAGAGTCATCATGGAACTTCTCTTTCCATTTCCCCACTTAATAGTTCTGGCTTGTATCCCCATCTCATTCCACACAATGTGCAGGCAATCCGTATAATTCTTAGGACTTTGTTGCCATCTGTATGCCCACCTATAGTTAAGATATCTCTCCTAAGCTCTGGAAACATAACTGGGCATTGGGTATCTCTCTTCACTTGCTTTTCCTATATGCTTCTCATACTCAGCAGTATACTATCCAAAATAGTATGTCATCAGAACTCACCTGCTTCCACAGTGCTGTGTGCTCCATATTGGGGAACAATCTCCACCATCTATAAACTGGAAAATACATCATTTTCCTTGCCAGACATGGTGGCTCAGGTCTAATCCCAGCAGGCTGGTAGACTGAGACAGGAGGATCAAAAGTTTGAGTTTAGCAGGGCAATTTAGTAATTTAGGGCTGGGCATATAGCTCAGTGGCGTAAGCACCTGCCTGGCAAGTGCAAGGTTGTGAGTTTGATCCCGGCACCGAAAAAAAAAAATTTTTTTTAGTAATTTAGTGAAATCCTCTCTCAAAATAAAAAATGATAAAATGGGTGGAGGACGTCAACTATCTCTAATCGGCTTTCAGATCTATAGTTCCACTGTCTAAAACTCTCATAGTTCCTGTTGCTTATCTTCCCTCCCAATGCCACTTCCCATTTTATCTTGTTCACCATCACCTCATCTATATTAACTAGTCCTGAATTACAGTATTTAAAATTGAAATATTTCAGTGAAAAAATGTCGAAAGTTTAAAAAATGAAAAATAAGCAAATTGAAACTGCTCGTGTTGGGTAATTGTTACATGTTTAAAAATATGTACCTTTTCATCAGATTTTAGATCCAGCTATATCCCATGTTGACTTTTTTTACATAAAACTTAAGTCATAGAAGACCCTTTTTAAGTGGCTAGGAAAAAAATAACGTGTAAAAATGAAGTATAGCTATCAAAGATCATACAGTAGGTCTAAGGTTAATTCACTTGCACAAAAACTTCAAGTGAGGTTTTTATGATTCCCCTCTATTTGATGCCTGAGGACTTTAAGGTAAAAATGTTCACTACCCTGTTTTGGAGCAGACTCACAGAGGGGAATCCAGCATGATGAATTTTCATTTCTCTTAGAAGGGAAATGTTGCAAGGGCTAGCATATTTTTGTAGCTAAGACTGTACAAAAAGATGGCACTAACCCAAAAAGGCAAGAGGTCAGGGAGCTGACTGTAGGGCTTGAAGGAAATGCTGACAAAACCTTACTCTAAAAATCTGTGAAGGTTTCTGAATGTGCTGTTTCTGTAAAACTCATCCGCTATGCTGAAAACGTTAAAACATTTCTATTTAAAGAATCTTTTAAAAGTATCTAAGGTTTTTGGCGCTTAATTAGATCATAAGAACAGAATGACCTAAAGCATAACCAATCTAAAGAGTCAGGGTTAAAACAAGCAGCTCTTCTGGGAATTTGAGCCTCACAAAATCATAGGAGTGAGCAATAGAAATACTTAATCCAGTTAAAGTCACTAATATTTAGAAAGCCCCCTTTACTTGAGGGCGTATTTCCTTGCTTTTAGTGCAAGAGCCTGTGTATTCCAAGAAAAATACAACTGTTGTGTTGAGAACTAGCAAAAGAAGCAAGGACCAAACAGACCTCTAACAAACAGCTCTTTATTGCCATAAAAATACTCTAGACTCTCTGTTCCCCTCAATTGTTCCAGTGTCTAACTACAGGGCCCCAAAAGAAACAAAGATGCTCTGTGCGTCCCCCTTCCTCACACTTGAGCATTTTATGACTGGTTTTACTATTTGTCCTTCCAGTAGCTTGATAGGGATCTCCAGATCCGAGGTGGAGCCTCTTACAGCCTGCTTGGGGCAGAACAGACCTTCATACAGAGTGGCAGCTCACTTGTTCTCACCAGTGCTTGGTGCAGTCCCCTTGATGAAAATGTGTAAAACCCAGCTGTCACTAGAGATTGGTTTGCACCTCAGCACACAATGAATTCTACTGCAGGAATACACACAGGAATACACTGCAGACAACCAAGCATCTTTGGCTTTGTTGCCAGAGAATCTTTAGAGATTACTATTAAATGTTTCTAATTATTTCAATTGCCAGATACACAACTTACATACTCTTCTTTGTTTTGTTGTTGCTGTCTTCAGACAGGGTCTTGCTATGTAGTTCAGGCTGGCCTTGAACTCCCTAGTCCAGGCAAGCTTTGAACTTGCGGTTTTTCCATCTCAGCCTCCAGGTGCTGGGATTACAGATGTGTGCCATTACACCTGCAATATACGATTGGGTCTGTAAAGTACAGATGGGGAAACCAGGAGGTAAAGAAGTTAAGTGACAGCACTAGATGTCAAAGGCAGCTAACCTGACTTCATATTGTTTCAATACTTTGCTTATTTAAACGTCATTAATGAGGTTAAAGCTGCCACTCCCTGGCTCCTCTTTCCCAAATGTGAAATAACTGCATGCAAAACATAACCTGGTTATTCTGAGAACTGAAACTGGTATGATATCCACCAAAGCTAATTTTGATTAAAGTTTTTTCCTAAACCTATTAAAAGTGCTAAAAATAAAAGTGCTGGTTAAACACAATTGCTCCACCCACCTCACCTAGAATAGCTCCTTCTATAGTCTTCTGCCTGTTACTGCTAAAAAGTAAAATGTAGCTTAAACTGTCCTGCTGGACCGAGCTCTTTGAAGGAAAGGGCAAGTTGACTTTGCATTCCTAAAGCCTCGCACACAGTGCAAGTGGAAGGACTTGTTTCATAAATGTTCTGTGACATTGACAAGTTTACAGTGGTACAACAACTTTAAGGTTTGCTTTTGTAAGTGGTCATCTAACAAAGCTATCACTCTACACTGTTTAGGATTTGCTTGTGAGGTACAAACTTACACAGAAGAAACAGTATCAACAGAGGGGCTGGGGATTTAGCTCAGCGGCAAAAGTGCCTGCCTGGCAAGCGCAAGGTCGTGAGTTCGGTTCCTGGTACCGGAGAAAAACCAAAAAAACAACAACAAAAAAATAATAATAAAACAGTATCAACAGAAAGAAAGACCTTCCTTCCATTTCCAAGTGATGCCTTGTTCAGCTTTGACATCTTGGTAGCAAACAGGACTTTCAGAGTTTTTGGTTTTTTCTGATTCAGATTCACATTGTGAGGGAGAAACCACAACTAACAAATTATGCTAGAATGCCACCCATTTCGTGCCTGGCTTGTTTTAATCTCAGTCTGAATTTTGTGTAAGAGAAAAACAGTGTCAATTTCTTCTGCCTGAAAACAGAGGTACATAATTTTTTTGTTGGTTATGAGAAGCTCTTTGGTTTGTCCTAATGGTTTGTCCTACTGGGAAGTCAGTGCATTTTTTTATATATATGCAGAAAATAGTGATAAGTCTCATAAAATGTTTACCTTTCATAAAAAAGAAAATTGGCATATTACTCCATATTATGTTTCTGTTGACCTTTGAAAGACTGCCCTAAGGAAGTATTTTGCTTTCCTGTCAAGAAACATTCTTACCACCTTTCATACTACAGGATATAATCATAGCTTTTGCGAGTGTCTCTATGGGGAGTGGGTTAGAATATGAGTATTTGGGAAACAATTTTTGAAACCTTATTTGCAGTTTAAAATATATCCATCAAGTACACAAATCTTGTGCTGCTTAATATAACAAATTGAACACACCACTTAGATCAACATCATGAGAAAGCTTCATGTTCCATTCTAGTCATTCCACACTACAAAGAAACCACTATTTTTCTGTCATTATAGATTAGTATTTTATATCTAGGTTCATTATATATACATATATATGTGTGCCTGTGTATATTACATATAATATGTAATATATATTACATGGTTATATATTTTATAATTATATATATATACATACACACATACACATACACACTGGCCTGTAACTTTGTTTTCTTCTAAAGACCTCTGCAAGGTTTTGGTATTATATTGGCTTTATAAAGTGATTTGCAAGTGTTTATTCTTACTCTCTTAAAGAGTGTGCCTGTGTTTGCTGTAGTTTCTTTCTGAAATGTTTGGAAAACTTTACCAGTGAAGTCATCTGTGTTTGAAATTTCTTTTTGTTAAAATGTTAGACTTTATTTCTTTGACAGATTAGGATTATTCAAAATATTTCCTCCTGTTTTTCCGAAATGGTTTTCAAGAAATGTTTTTATTGTCAAATTCATTAAAGTTTTTTTTCTAAATTCTCTTGTTTTTGATAATGTCTGTAAAAGCTGTAGTGATTTTTCATTTTTCAAGTTTTCTGTTCTGATTAGTCTTTGGAGGTTATTAATTTTAATGAACTTCAAATTGGAGAACCAGTTTTTAGATTTGTGTTTCCTTTTGATTACAGCTTTCTTTTTAATTGGTCTTCACTCTTTATGTCATTCTACTTTGTGTTACTTTTTTCTAGATCCTAAAGGTAAAAACATACGATAATTGACTTTCAACCTTTTTTCTTTGTATAGATTCAAAAGTTTCACATTTTCTATTAAACACTACTTTAGCTGGATTTTGCATATTGTTATGCTTTGCTTACTTGTATTAAGTTCCATAAGACATTATCATAGTTTTATTCATTTCTGATACTGAGGATTGAGTCTGTGGACTACTAAACTACATTCTCATCTTTTCATTTTTTTATTTTAAGATAGGGCCTAAGTTAACCAGGTTGGACACGAACTTTCAATCTTCCTGCCTCAGCTCTTGAGTAGCTGGAATTACAGGCATGTGCCAGCACACCTGGATATTATTGCAATTGTAAACATTCTCTATTCTAAGAGATTTATGAAAATAATTACCCTTTCTTCTGCTCTCCATTCCATCCCACAGTTTCATGCTTTAGTCTGGAATCCTTTCTTTTCAGCCTCAAGAACTTCCTTCACTTTTTTATAATGCAGATGTGTACACCATTGACAAACCATTTCAGCTATTTTTTGCCTGAAAATTTATTTCACCTTTAAGGTGTTTTTTTTTTTAATGGAAAATTTTCTGTTGAGCATTCCCCCACTGTCTTGTCAGTACTTTTATGTTTCCGTTATCTTTTATTTTACAGTTTCAGCTGAAGAATTTGCCCAATGTTTTTACTCTTCCTTCTTTGAAAGTTACATACTCCTGCTCTTGGGCTGCCTTAAAGATTTTTCCCTTGATGCTAGGCTTCAGAGTCTAAATATGGTGTGCCCATGTTGTGTTTGTTTCAGTAGTAATTCCGGTTGGGGCTTGTTGAGTATTTTCAATCTATAGGTCAATGTGTCATCAGTTTTGGAAAACTCAACCCTTACGTCTTCAAATATTTCTTCATTTTTATTTCCTAGCTTCTCTCCTGGTATGCCAACTATGTGTATGTTATACTGCTTAATCTTAGATGTTCATTACCATTGTGTTCTCCATTTTTTAATTCTCTCTGGAATCCGGGTTACCTATATTTGGTTACAGATGTCTCCCAAATTTCTTCTGTGTCCAGTCTGCCATGAACTGATCCAATTTTTTATTAACTTCAGATTTTATATATTTTATCTTTTTTTTCCAGTCCTGAGAATTGAACAGTACAGTTCAAGGACAGTGCTCGAACGCTGGCAAGCACTCTGCCCCGAGCTGCATCCCAGCTCTAATTTTAGTGCATCCATTTGAGTCTCTGAAATTCTCTATTTTTTCAACTCTTTTTTTCCTTATTAAAAAACAGATTAAGAGGTTTTATTTTTGGCAGATTATACATACACACAGCATACTTTAATCATTCCCCCACATCACCTGTCTCCCCTAGTTTCACAATTTTGGATGGTTTCAATGTATATAATGTATTTCAATCATATTCCCATTACTCTTGATTGTCTTTAACACATTCACCGTAGTATTCTTAGTCCTAGTCTACTGACCTGGCTCATCTGTGGGTCTGCTTTAATGGCTTAATTTTACTCCTGATTCTCGGTTTTATTTCCCTTCTTTGTATATAATTACATATACATATGCATTTTGTGTGCTAGACATTGAGTATAAAAGAAAGTGTCTGAAGTTGATATTCTTTTTTCCCAGAGAAAAAGAATCTATATGTTCTGTTAATTGTATTTGGTAAGAGGCAAATCACCCCAAATCAATTAGGAATCACGCTCAGTCAGGGCCTAGTGCCAGTTTTATGGAGACTCAGTCTGCGTGGAAGGATGGTACCTTTCCGTTCAAGCCCCACCTGTACGCAGTGAGGTCTCACAGGTGTATCCTTGCTTGGCTCTTTTCCCTGTTGACACGCAGTCCCTTGGTGGTGCATAGAGACGTTCAATTCAGGCTTTTGCTATTGATTCCCAGCTCCAACCTCGACTGCTTCCAGCAAGAAACAGCACATTCCAACAGGATGCTCAGGGAGAGTTTAACAAGAGGACTATATGCAAAGCTGTGGGTAGGATCAAGGGAAACTAAAATAGATGGTGACATGCCCTTTGGGTAGCAACACACAGAAACTGTTGCCACTCCTGGCCTGAAGGGACAAGAGGGGGCAGTGACTAGACCTACAGCATCGCTGAACTAGGGTGACCCTCCCAATAGGAGATGTGGGGGGTGTCGCTAAGCTACATGACCTGGTAGGGAAGAAATTGGTGGAATAACACTCATCCTTCATTTGCTGTCCTGCCAGAACCCTCCCCATTAAAAAACCCAATTAGAAGTTTGAAAACCTGGAAAGTTGTTGTTGTAGTCCACAAAGGTCATCCTTTGGGACACAAAAGGGTAAGGTTTGATTTGGAATGATCAACTAGAAACCCTCATACCAATTTTCTACTGGTGAATGACTAATAAACATCTCAATAGATGGGATATGATAGGTCATGGGGTAGAGCAGAAAGGAATCCTATAAACCAGGTGCTAAATTAAAGCTCATAGAAGAGTGACATGGAAGTAGCAAATTGAAGCAAATGATAGTGGTGGAGGGCAAGATTGATCTATCCATTCATCCATCCACCCACCACCCATCCATCCACCAACCATCCATCCATCCACCCATCCGTTTCTAAAATGAGTGTTTTTATGTGAGAGGAATGAATAATGATCTGGAAAAGGCACCAAGTAGGTAAAAGCATGTGAGCCATATAAAATGCAGGATAACAGAAGAGTAGATGACATCCATTTTAGATGCCTACAGAAGTAAGGTCTCTGGGAGAACCAGGCACCAGTCATGGTCAGGTGTCAGTCAAGACCAGAGAGTAGAGGAAACTTCCAGCACTCAACATTTGTTTAAAGTACTGAACGAAGTGGAGATTCAAGTACAGGGGAAGCTCAGAAGTGTTCAATTGATGGTGGCAGTACCCCTCTGAAGGGGTACTGGAAAATAATGACCAGTATTTTTGACTTCTGCAGTGACTGAAGAGTATTATGTTAGCAGCGTGTGAGACTGAGGAACCAGGAATGGTAAAGTCCTATACGGTTCAAGACAATACCCACAGCTGTCTCTGCTCAAAATGCCAACACATCTCCTACTGACGATGGAGGGGGCTTACCTTTTATATCAGTAAGGATCACAGAAATATGAGACATGGTGTTCTTGAGGATCCACAGGAGTGCTGATCTCACTTTCAGGCAATCACAGTGCCTTTGGCTTATGGTACCCATAAGCAGGAAGTGGTAACTGCTTTGGATAAGAACTCAGTAGTTTAGATGTGATACAGTAGGTGAGGGGGAGATCTCCCTAATAATGGAGTATTTTTATATAACAGATTTAACACCCTTATTTGTTTCTGTTTTTGTTTTTTGTTGCTTGTTTTTGTTCATTATAAATAGGCTTAGATTGAAAAAAGGCTTGAATTATAGACTGGCTGTCTTATTCAGAATTCTTAGAGGGAAAGCTGTATAGCCAGTACTATGACAACCTCTATGTTTTTTGTAGAAACATTTCAGAATGAACAATTTCATATTAGAAGTAAATGTTAATCAGTAAGTTTTTAAGTAGAAAGGAACCTCAGAGCCTACCTTGAGCCCAATACTTCAGTACAGAAATAAGTGTATTCTATTTTTGCCACTCACGACATGTAATCAAATGAATAGCTGAGTACTTGAAACTTTAATTTTAAATGTAATTATGGTCTGTAGAAACAACAGGCTGAAAAGTGGACCAAAGTGTATGTAAAATGGGCAGCCTGGCATATATTTCAATTCCCATTTATAACGAAAAGTTGTTTACATTTTCAGTTTTCAGGCCTGGAGAAAAGACTTCATCATCTTATATGTGATGCGGTTTTCTGGGCTGCTGACATCTTCATCAGATCTGACTGAAATTTCCTCTTCTTGAAAATGAATGGGCATTTTCTTGCTCTCCACACGCATGAGCTTCACTGCCAGGGGGCCCAAATCCGCATGTTCCTACAGTGAAGAGGCAGCAAGAGGAAAGGTTATCTGGCAAGTCAGCCTTGATAGATTAGGCTTATTGTGTTTGACCTATACCCAACAGATTTCATTGCCTTCTTGATTTTCTGAATGCTACGGAGCACATGAAATACAAATTTTAAAAAAACTCACACCTTGAAAGCTTATATACCCAGTGGAGCATAGTAGGGAAGTTTTTCCAAAGAGAAGAGAACAGAACCTCTGGAAGCTGTTTTTATTTTGGTTTTTGTACTGAGGATTGAACCCAGGACCTTGTATATGGCAAGCAAGTGTTCTGTCACTGAGCTGTATTCCCAGGCCCCCTTGTAAGAACTTTAATTGGTAGAAGAATGCTAGCTGTATATACACAGGCTCTCTATTGGTTAGGAGATAACAAAATTTTATTATTCAAGAACAAAGGGAAAGATTCTGCAAATGCCACTCTGACTATGAACAATATTGAGCACATATACTACTATTAATCCAAACCTGGGATATCAAACCTTTGACTTTTAAATCTCTAATAATTTTTTCTTTTTTGCAGGATCCTTGGCTATTATACAAATAAAATTTACTACATTCTGCCAAACTGTAGTGTAAGATGTCAACAAGCAAGTCTTTACATAAAATCGTACGGCCAACCCGCAACAGGTGGGGCAGCGCAGGCCCTTCCCCAACGTGCTTTGCTTTGGGAAACCTCTCAAGCTCTGACTCTCACGTTTGAACTTCAGCACCTCTGCAAACTTTTCCTGCCTGCCCGTTATGTGCCTTGCCCTGTATCCAGTGCTAGGTGGAATGAAAAGCACACAGACTTGTCAGAGAGACAAACGAACGCCTGGGCATGTTGTGGGAATTGTTAATATTTACTTGAATTTAGGAGAATCAAAGAATGAAAAAAGGGGGGGCTGGGGATTTAGCTCAGCGGCAAAGCGCCTGCCTGACAAGCGCAAGGTCGTGAGTTCGGTTCCCGGTACCGGAGAAAAAAGAATGAAAAAAAGAAGCACCGTTTTACTACTTAAAATGCTTATAATTTTATTTAGTTTTAAAAATATAATTATAGAGCTGTGATAAATGTAAAATAGGAGAAAAAGGAAACTGATAGAGGTCTACCACATTGTACACTATGGACATGATAGTTCTACCATCAAAAACTCCTATAAAAAGAATGCCTTTTATTAAACTCAGTGGCATACGGTTTGGGAATTTTGTATACAAATATCCACTAGTCTGAGGTCATCATGACATAAAAGTCATGGTTTTAAGAGATATATGTGGGTGTTTCAATAGTAGAGAGCCTAGAACTTTATTACTATTATTTTTGCAGGGACTGGGGATTTAGCTCAGTGGCACAGAGCTTGCCTGGCAAGCCCAAGGTCGTGAGTTCGATTCTCGGTACCAGAAAAAAACAAAAAACAAACAAAAAACTATTATTTTTGCAGTGCTGAGAATCAAATTTAAGACCTCATGCAAGCTAGGCAAGTGCTCTGTCACTGTGCCACATCCTCAGCCCCCAAATTTTAGTCTTTAAGTGGTCATTTGATGTTAGAATTGTACTTGGTAAATGGTAGTTTATTCAATTTCTTCTGTTTTATATCCATCTTTCTCTTATCAGACATAAACTGTATGAGAACTTTTAAAGTTCTGGGCAATATGAAGAAAAAAAATAGGGGTGATGAGGGGGTGACATACCAAAAAAAGATTTAAAAGTCAAAGGTTTGATATCCCAGGTTTGGATTAATAGTAGTATATGTGCAGTTTCAAAAAATGGCCTGATACATATCCTATCCCATATATTTTCCTTAAATGTGACATTGACTCTTCTCCATCAAGATGTAGGAGTTATGTTTCTTCCCTTTGGTTGGAACTTGGTAACTACATCAACCAAGAGAACATGAAGGAAGTAATGAAATATGATTTCCAAAGCTGCTGTTCAATACACTGACACTTTTATCTTGCTTGCTCTGGGAAAAGCCAGGCATCTCGCAGGGACACCCGAGCCACTCTTTGGAGAGGACCATATGTAGAGGAACTGAGGCCCCTGTTTAGCCAGTGTCATCTTGTGAACCATGTAGCTAACCACCTTGAAGTGGATCCTCCTACCCCAATCATATGAGTACAACTCTACCCAACAAATGATTGCAGCTGCCCACGGCCCAAGTGACAACTGTCCAGCAGGGCCTTTCCCAAATTCCTACACACAACAAAGCTCTGAGGGTATTGTTCCAAGCCACTAGGATTGGGCTAGTTTATTATGTAGTGTCGTATCACTTACACTGTATACTAATAATAGAGGTCCACAAAAGAAGGTACGTAGCAAACTGGCCAAAAGTAGGAGTGAAAATAGTATCCAGTGAGAGAGAGGGGAATGATGGGCCTATGTTATTAATAAATGCAAATAGAAGCTTTCAGTATCCCTATTTTAAGCGAATTTTTCTAAGTGTTCTTTTAGTAACCAAAGTTGTGGTCTCATGAACCTTACCTTGAAATCCCACTCATCTTCATACAGTAAATGCTTCATCTGAGAATCCCCAAACTCTGTACATGAGCTGTCCACCTCATCTATCCTCAGGTGCCGGACATTCCTGCCACTGTCTCCAGGGCTGAGCTGGAGGGAGGTGCTCTCGCCTAGGGGGCTCAGTGTGTCTCTGTATTCTCCTATGGGTTGCAGTTTTGACTTCTCTTCTGATGAAGGCAAAGAAATTACTTATGTATATACTTGGAACAGCTAAAAAATGCAACACATCTTTTGCCACATTTTTAATTTGAAAGAGTGCAGAACATTAGAAATGTAGAATTTATGGATCAAAGTAAGAACTCATTTTAAGAAACTCTACATTGTATTTTCTTCTGTCATCTAATAATTTACAGTAATCATGTGGAACTTATATGTTTTGATATTTTGGTTGGCCCATTTTGGTCTCAAATTATATCACTGTAGGCAACACCCTATTCTTCCCCACTGCCATCTGCTTCAGTCACTGTGAAGCAGGTGTGTTTGACTGCGAAATGAGGCTACAGAGAAGAAAATGATTAGACCAGGCACTGCAAGAAGAGAAGCCTACAGGAGCTGGTGTGTGTTCATTCCCTGAACAGTTATTGCAGATGGGGCACCTGCCCATAACACACACTCAACAGCTGTATACCAACACCTTTGCAGTAAAATATACCTATATATGTTTCTGCCAGCTCCAAAGGCATTTCTTCGGGTGGTACTTCCTGTCCAGCAGCTTGACTAAGATACAGTCGCCTAAAAGAACAAATAAGATAAACAGTCTACCAGTCAACAAATACTGTATTATGGGCTTACTAATGTCAGTTTCTCTCCTGGATTTTAGAGATTTATGGAAAAAAGAAAATAAGACATGGTTTCTACCCCTGAGCATAAGGCCCTGTGGAGAGGCAGGCAATCCTATAGTATTTTACAGCAATTGTTTCTACCACAGTGGGTCACTAGCATAGTGTAAGAATGCAGGGAATAGAGAGAAGCAGGACTGAGTTCATTTCAGGAGGTAGAGAGGTTTGCTGAAGGAGATGAATCCTGAATTGAATCTTTTAAGAACCAGGAGATGATCACCAAGGAAAAGCTTCGAGTAAAGGAAGGGCATTCGAAGATAAGGAAGTAGCACATGCAAAATCTCAGAAATGAGAGTGAGCACGACTTCAGTTAGGTTGCTTCTTCTGTAATTCAGGTGAGGATCGACAATACCCAGAATGGAGTGGATTTGACATGAAGAGAAAGAGCAGTAGATAGCCAAGATGCTATCTGGGTCCTGGCTTTGACTGAATGACATGTTTTACTACAAGTATCTCTGCTATATACTGTGATCGCTGTGATGCTGGGCAAGTCAACTAGCCTCATTGGGCTTATTTCCTTATCTGAAAAACGGAGTAATGCTTGCCTCCCCATGAAAAGTGATGTGTAAATTATGTGCTTAGAAAATGGTGGCTAGTATAGTACCCACTCTTGGATCCCTGTTCGTAGGACAGCAGTGACACATTTAACCTCAAGCCCAGTGACCGGACACTGCATGCTGCTGCAGCTCTCTGCACATGTATTTAATTCTGTGCTCTCCTCTTCATAATGCCCACTGAATTTTTAATAAGAAAACATGCTTTGAAAGTCCTGAATGGCATTGCCATTTGACTTGCCTGAAAAGAACATGAAGCAGTTGAACCTTTGCAGATGTGCAAACAACCACTCATGTTTAGCAAATTAGCAGCCCAAATAAATCCCCTGAAGTGGGGGCTGTCAGTTATTTAAAGAACATGAATAAAGTGTTATCTAGACACTTATAACTCTAGCAACTATTGTAATTGCATACAGTATTTATGCAGAGCACTTATATTAACACGTTTATAATATGTAATGACATTCATTGTAAGGAGTTCATACATGTACATAACAGGTCTTAATTCTTTGTTTTAATCCCCTTCTCTGTCCTTCCCCTCCCTCCCCTCTTCCTTCATTTTTGGTACCTTCCTCTTTCCAAAAGTTGTCTCCCTGTTTCCTATTATATATCTTTTATTCTGCTCTTTAATTTATTTCTACTTTGGGTTTCTCATAGATGAGAAACCATACAATATTTAACATGTTCACGGTGGGGCTGATAATTCATACATCTCATTGTCAGGCGGCTTGAACCACAGGTGGTACATGCATGACTGTCCCATCAGGTGGCTTTTAATTAATTTAATTACTAAAAAGACCAATAAAATGGATTAGATCCATTTGTACCACTTGGTAATTGAACCTGGCAGGATCATGTTTAACTTGTGTGTGTGATTTATTTCACTTAACATTATGGTCTCAGGGTGCATCCATTTTTGTACAAATATCTCACTTATCCTTTGCATGAGAGGTGTATAAATACCACATTTTCTTTACCTGTTCATTTGCTGATGGACACACTATAAGCTACTTCCATAATACCAAAAAAAGTTTTTCCCATTCTGTAGGTTGTCTGTTCACTCCGGTTGTTTCCTTTGCTATGCAGAAGTTTTTTTTTTTTGTTTTTGTTTTTTTTCAAAAAACAAAAACAAAAAGTCTGATATGATCCCGCTTTTTGATTCTTGATGTTATTTCTTGTGCAACTGAGGTTCTGTTCAAAAGTCCTCACCTATGCCGATCTTCAACAGTAGTCTAACCTACTTTCTATTGTAGGAGATTGTTTCTGTTTTAATATTTATGTCTGACTCATTTTGATTTTAGTTTAGTACATGGTGAGAGATACGGGTCTACATTTGTTCTTCTACATGTATATATCCAGTTTTCCCAACATTATTTGTTAAAAGGCCATTTTTTCTCCAGGATATGTTTTTGGCCCCTTTATCAAAGACATGACAGCTGAATATGCCAGGGTTGTTTCTGCATCCAGGATCATGATGCCTCCTGCTTGGCTCTTGTTGCCCAGGATTGCTTTTGCTGTTCTGGGTCTCTTCAGTTCCCTATGAGTTTTAGGATTGTTTTATCTAGTTCTATGAGGAAAGCCATTGGCATTCTGCTTGGAATTGCATTAAATCTATATACCAGTTTTGGGACTATGGCCATATTGACAGTCTTGGTTCTGCCTGTCCAGGAACAGGGAATATCTTTCCATTTTCTGATATTCCCTTCCATCTTCTTTTTCAGATTACTATGGCTTTTGTGTAGAGGTCTTTCACTTGCTTGGTAAGGTTAATTCCTAAGAATATAACTTTTGATGCTTGATGCTATTAAGAATGGTATTGTTTTGTATTTCTTTCTCAATGAGTTCATTATTGGTATACAGGAACACTACTGATTTTTTGTTGTTGTTTGTGTTTTTGAGATAAGGTTTTGAATTCACTTCGTAGCCCAGGCTGGCCTCACCGCCATTCTCCTGCCTCAGCTTCCCAAGCGCTGGGATTACAGGCGTGCATTATCCTGCCTGGCCTAATTTTTATGTGTTGATTTTGTATCCTGTGTTTCATGTGTAGCTCTATTCTTCAGGTAGACATGTCTGGGGCTATAGAATTATTTTCTGCTTTTACCATTTTGAATAATTAAGATCTTACTAAATGTCACAGCTGTTATACATCTAGCTTTCTCTCTTAATAAGTTTATTGTCATTTCTGTACCACTATAGGGCAACAACATGATATTTAGCAATACAGAAAGACACTTTAAAAGATATTAGTGTTGGATGTGTAGGTACGGGCCCACTTAGTCTCCGCCCTGTGGCACTAGTATTCCAAGGCGGTCACCTCTGGTTGACACTTGCCTTGTCTGTTTTCACTAGTATGTCAGCAAAATGCTGTGTTATATGCCAGTTCTGATGGAAAAAAAAAGCTTGTGATATGGGAAATGTAACAACTCTAATTGAGCAGAATGAAAACAAGAACTTTTTCTGTGCTTGTGGGGACAATTCATGTCTATTTCTCATCACTCTCCTAGTACTAGTAGAGGACTGAATTCTCAACAAATGTTGCAAAGGTCAGTTACTGTAACATATACAATGCATGTTATGCTTCTCTGACTTAAAAACTTATAGCAGAAGCTCCTAAATACTCTCGGGTTAACTTGGTTAAGAACTCTTACCCGCTAATTGAGAGTTTACACATTTCCTTGTTTCTTTATGCATATCTTTCTAAAATGTCCTAAACAGTTTCCTCAAGGAGTTGAGGAATCCAACAAGGAAGCAGACATGAAATAATCAAAAGAACGATAAGAACTAGTTACAGTGAAAAATTTCAGAGTGTTATGAAGGTACATACCAGGGACACCTAACTCAATTCTTAAAAACCTCACTCATATATCTGCAAATGGGAAAGGAATCCAGAAACGGAGGGATGGGAGAGGGAGGAGAGAGGAAGGAGAACAAAAAGAATTAAGTACATGTACCTACCCCCTCAGATGAGTGTAAGTATTATGTACTGCAAACATGTACTAATAGAAAATTGAAAACGATTTTGATTTTATTTCTTCCAACTCTGGTGAAATAACAACTCCATGTCTCCCACTAAAGAAATGAGTCAATAAAGCACTAATGAATAATGTGGATTTTACTGGGGAATGTGGGGAAGACAGAGGGGTTCAACTGCATACTACACAACAAACAATTTAACAAAAATTCTTATTGAACTTTTCCCATCTGAGCTGGGGATGCAGCCCGGTGGCAGAGTGTTTGTCTAGCATGTGTGTGGCCCTAGGTTTGATGCCAGCACTGGAAAAAAAAAAAAAAAAATCACAGCTCCCTTCCCGCTCTTGCCAAGTCCTCTCTGGCCCATGGAGGAATGACCTTTGTTATAAATACTGGCACTTCATATCCATGTCAGCACCAAATCAAATGTATCAGACTGAGCTCACTGAAGCAGAGCCATAGGTTTAGCCAGTTTAGAAAATGAGGACAGTGACAGCTGGCAGAGATTAGACATGATCACACAGAAGGCAGCGGCAGTAGATGACAAGGATTAGAGGCAGGACAGGAATGTCAGACCTAATCCTAGAGAGGAGAGCTGACAAGAGAGCTGACCCCTCACAGGCCCTCCAGAGCATCGGGTCAAGAGACCAGAAAAATAGGAGCCAAGTAATCACTCCGCTCACTCAGCCTCACCTCCAACACTCGTGTGTACTTTTCCTGGTGCGATCATGGGAGATAGGTGGCCCTTTTCTGTATCCTGCCTTATCCAGCTTTCAGACTTTAGAGTAATTATGCCATCTCCCAATTTCTCCAATCTTGTACCCAACTCCCATCACTTAGCCTAGCAAGCAAGAAACCTACAACTTAACTGTATCCGTCCTTCTTGGAACACATTAAGAAGTTTGTAAAAAAAAAAAAAGTAGAAGAAGAAGAAATTGTCCAGGCATGGAGGAACACACCTGTAATCCCAAACTAGGGAAGTTGAGGCAGGTGGATTGCCAGGAGTTCGAGGCCAACCTGAGCTATGTAGTGTATTCAAGGCAAGCCTGAACTACAGAATGAGACCCTGTCTTAAAAACAAAAAAGATTAAAAGGAATAAAATCTTACCATGTCTCAAGTAGTATTTTTCTATGTCAAACAAGCAACATGAACTATTTGGTTGGAACATTTTTACTGCCTTTTCTACCATAATCAATTGAATAGCTACACTGATAATTTCCTACCACTTTGTCTGTAATTTGGTAAGCCCCCTATTACTATGTTATCCTTCTTTTACTCTTTAAAATAAAAAAATAAAAAAAAATTTAAAAAATTGAATATCTAATTTAGTTCCTAGATTTAATACTTATCACCCATACTTGCACATATGCACTCTACATTTGTGTAATTTATTTTCCCTCTTCCTAAATGTGCTGTTTTAGATTATTTATTTTTTTACTATACTGTATATCCAAATTATGACTGTCACTTTCAATGTTAATTCCATATTTCAAGGCCCTAGTTTTCCCATCAAGATTGATATAATTAAATATATATATATATACACACATATAGGGGGATTCAGGCAAAAAAAATAGGTAATCTAAAATACTTGCTCCCAGCAAGTTGAATCTTCAGGTTCCTGAAGGTTGGCAATTGTGATGTTCATGTTAAATATTTAACATGTTAAAATGTTCATGTTAAATATTTAACATGTTAAAATGTTCATGTTAAATATTTAACATGTTAAAATGTTCATGTTAAATATTTAACATGTTAAAATACAAAGCTATGTATACACTGACTTCTCTTGTGCAGCTTGGAATCCCAGATATTTTTTCCACCTACAGAACAGTTTGACTATTTCAGAAGAAATAACTCCATATTCACAAGGTAACCAGAAGTCCAGAACATCTCTAAGAAGCTCCCAGCAAGTTGATCACCCCCTCCTTTGTGCTAACTCTGCACTTGCTCATCTATTGAGCTGATATGCACTTAACTCATAACATTTCTCCTGTGGGTCTGCAGGTTCCTGAAGGTTGGCAATTGTGATGTTCATGTTAAATATTTTCTATCAGGAGTACAGTGCAGTGGAAAACAAATAAGAGAACGTTTACACTGTACTTGTGATCAAGAGTAATAATCTTATACCTTCATCACGGCCATTTTGTGGGTTGTTCAGGTTCTTCATTCTAAGCTCTATCTCCAGCCTATTTTTTATTTTGAGACAGGGTCTCTCTAATTGCTAAGTTGCTCAGGTTGGGCTTGAACTTGTGATTACTGTGTCTCAGCTTCCCAGAGTGCTGGAGTTGCAAATGTGAGCCACCATGTCTGGCCTTTTATTTTTTGATTGTTAGGTTTTTTTTTTTGTTTTTTTCTCCGGTACCGGGAACCGAACTCATGACCTTGTGCTTGCCAGGCAGGCGCTTTTGCCACTGAGCTAAATCCCCAGTCCCTGGCCTTTTATTTTTGACTATTGCATTCTGGATGGAGCAGTGAAGAAGTAAATCATCTTTTAAAAAATTTACAGAAAAAATAAAAAATAAAAATAAATAAAAAATTTACAGATACAAATATTTATAAAACACTTTCTAGAAAATATTAATGACTTTCACCTGGGTATTTTGAGATCCACAAGTCTACAGTTGAATAGCTGATCAATAAGCACCAAATTTTCTTCTTCTAGTTCATGAATAGTATTTTCTAATTCTTCAACTTCCTTCCTATGAATTGCAATCTGCTCTCAGAAAAAGAGAATGGATATTGGTACTTTTTGATTTAGTTCTATAAACTCTTCTATAGCAAATTCAACTCCTGTAAGTGCATTTGCCTGAGGAAAAGATCTACCATCTACTTATTACTAGGTTAGCTTTGTCCTTCCTCTGTTGGAAGAAACAGGTATGGCAATGTAGCAGAACTTGCTTCATGGTAAGGCAGTTACAATAGGAGAGTAGAAGCTGTCCTTTCCCATGCTTCAAAAACTCTAATGAACTTGTATGTGAACTAGAGGCAGAAATGAGAAAACAAAGCTAATGAATTTAGCAACATGGCATACTGTAGCTAAATGAGGTTCTGTTTAAGGGTAATTATAAACAATACAATAAAAAATAACATTTGGATAATGCAATATTATGGTATTTTTAAAAAGAGAGGTCCACAGAATTTTTTGTTTGCCTTTATAATTGTTTTCTTTCTGAGTGATGATGTTGTTTGAAAAATGTCAGGTAGGGGCTGGGGATTTAACTCAGCAGCACAGCGCCTGCCTGGCAAGCACAAAGTCATGAGTTCGATTCCTGGTACTGGAAGAAAAACAAAAAAAAAAAAACAAAAAAGAAAAATGTCAGGTAGATGAAAGATGATTTATTTATTTAATTGTATGCCTATTGTGTGCTAGAAATTGTATTACACTTTGGAAACAAATGAACAAGATAATAACCTAGGACAGTGATGAGGAACTTTTAGAACTTCCCATGTTACAAACAGCCTCTACAGCACACATGCCAGAGGCTTGCTGCCACCGACCTAGGGTCTCAGCCTGGTGCTAAGAGAAAATGGTGATGAAAATGGAAAACAGTGTGATGAAAACCACATTGGAAGCTGTCCAGCTGCTGTGGGAAGAGAGAGAGATGCACTCTTTCTGTCAGATGTCAGAATAAAAGGGAAAATAGAAGAAAACAGCATCTCATTTGGATCTTGAAAGGCAAGTAGGGATTCCTTAGATAGGAACAAGAAGGTGCCTTTTACACAAAGGAGCCACATGCCCAAAATCACAGTTATTTTGATGTGGACACATACAGAGGACAAGTGGGGAGAAATACTGGACATCAGGGAAGGGTCAGACATTGAAGAACATCATTTTTAGATAGTGGCAGGTCATTGCTAGATAGAACACACTTAGCGTTCACTGAGGAAATACGACTCATACCAACATGAACAAAATCTGCTCATGTGGGTTAGAGTTCCCATCAGTCTCTTAAAAAGTACATTTTGACAACTTTGTCTAAAGGAGGCTCAACAGTGGGAAGAATGTATGAAAGACTGTTAAAGTAGAACTCCCAAATCACCTTTCTGCCAAGCCAGGGAGTGATCATGGAGAAAGCAAGACAACAGAAGAATTAGAACTAGGAATATAAAAAGAAAGTGACAGAGCCGGGTGTGGTGGCACATGCTTGTAATCCCAGCACTCAGGAGGCTGAGGCAGAAGGATCTCTGCAAGTTCGAAGTCAGCTTGGGCCACATAGTGACTTCAAGGCTGGCTTGGACTGCATAACAAGATGCTGTCTCCAAAAACCCCTGCCTCCCCAAAACAAAGTGATAGGCTGGTGAGAACAATAGACAAACAGGAGGAAGTAATGAATTTTGAGGGAATGAGGTGAAATTTTAAAAGGCACAAGGGTTTAGATTCAATGTATCTTGTGAGGAGATGCCAAGAATGCAACTGAGATGAATATTTAAGAAACTAACTGTCTTGGTTACTTTTTCCTCACTGCTGGGACAAAATACCTGATGCCCAAAATTAAGGAAGGAAAGGTTCATTTCGCTTACAGTTTATGGAAGTATCAGTCCGTACTTGGCAGATTATAAGGCAGAGTGGAACATGGCAGAGAGCTGCAGCTCATGGCGACAGCACACAGCTAAGCAACAACCACACACCAGAGCGGAATGGGGGAGGAATGCCCCAAGCACTCTTTTCCTCTCCCTTACATATGCAAACTATCCACCCCAGGGCCGGTGTAGCTCTCACACCCACAATCATTCAACTCTAATAGCCTGCCCCAAGGTCGCATGAGGCTTTGGAGGGCACACACAGACATAAACCATAATACTAACGTTTTCTGCTGTTACTGAAACTCCAATTGTATTTTGGAATCTTGACGTATTTGGTATATTACTGTATGCACACCTCTATTACATGTCATTATGTACGAATTTTTGTTTTGTTTTGTTTTACTTTTTGAGAGGACCTTGCTATGTGGTCCAGGCTGGCTTTGAATTTGCTAAGTTGCCCAAGATGACCTTGAGCTCACAATCTTCTTGCCTCAGCCTCCCAAAGTATGGTATTCTAGGCATGTGCCATCAAACCAGCAAGTATATGAATTTTTATATGTACACTGTTCTGAGATAGACATTGAAGGATATAAGGTGAATAAGGCATGACTCTTCTCCTAAAAACCACTTAGTGTTACAGTGAACAAAAATAAAATTATAATATGTAACAATACTAGTGTCCTAGAAAAGGTTCAAATACTGCTGATGGCTTAAGAGTTGAAAGAAAAAGCGTATATTATTTACTGCCTCAAATAATTTAACAAAAAACATTTAACTCCATAATACTAAATTAAATAGCTAAGGATTGGTGTTATAGGATCTTTTATGTTGCAAGATAATTAATTTGATTACAAGTTTGGGTGCCTTAAGAAAAAGTTTGACTTTTTAAATGTCAAAAATGAGAAAGAAGTTACAGTTAGAGATTATAAAGAGAGAAAGAAAATAGAACATTTGGCAATATTTGTCCTACGGGTTTGGCATGCATGGGACGCAGCACACAGAGTTCTTGGTCTCTATCCAAAGTTGAGAATAAGGTTCCTTGGAGAGTTATACCCAGGCTTCCAGGCTAAGGCTATCCTGTGTACCACCCCCTCTCTGGAGTACTCAGGAATGTCCTCATCAGTTGCTCTCTCCCTGCCAGGCTGAAATGTTATGGAAATAAAAACTAGTTCTTTTCCATGGTCACATAAATATCTTTAGATTTTCAGGGCAAGAAAGTAAAAAGGAAGAGGTGAAGACCACTTTCCCCCATATACTTAAGAAATGTACAAAACTGGGAAAAATAAGTTAAAACTGGTGTAAGTCAGGGGCCTAAGATCCTGATTTAAATATACATTCTCGAATTTTTCTTCTGAAAGATCCTTTCATAGTTGACACTTTGCCAGCTTCCTTGAATCTTTCTGTTGTTTCTCTGGCTTTCCATATATTGAGTTAGTCTATGTCATTTGAAAATTTCAATTTCCTTCATTTTCCTAATAAGCATGTTAAATAAAACCAAATAATGAAAATCATGCAACAGTACATCTTCGTATCCTTCCCACAGATCCAAATTTTTTGTTATTGTTGAGTTAAATAGAGAAATATTTTCAATTGCATTATTAAATATCCCTTATTATTCCTTTTAAACCTTTCCCAAAGACACTGACTGACATACACTGTTCTGTGTCTTGGCAATTTCTAATTCTTGTGATAATATTTATAACCATAAATAATTTTCATTAATTTTATGAGTAAATTTAATAAAACTAAAATGAATATTTATTGAAATAAAGGCAAATCAAGTCTATTGAATTTCCTTAAAAAGATTTGTCCTTTATTACTAAGTTCTTTTTGCCCATTATTCAATTACATTTGACATTTTTTCTTTATTTTCATTGAATTATGAGAAGTTAAAAAAAAACTAAACATAACTTGTAGCTTTAAGAGGAAGAGTCAAGCACCAATACAGCATTTCTTATCAATTTAAATTTTTGTGGTCAACTTCCCTAAGCTTCGGCTTAGGATCTGTGACACCATATCATACTAAGAGTTGAGTCATTATTATACGAACATACTGTTTTACTTAATAGAAGTATAAAATTTCTAACTAAGTTAGAGATTTCTGGGAACAGTATGAACTCTTCCTCAGCATGACTTTCGAGAGAAATCATGAGAGAGGGAGTCCTCTGGGGACTGGGGCTGTGCCTATTCTTTAATACTTGTTCTCATGGTAAATTATGATTAAACTCGTAAGGTTCCCTAGAAATGTTTTGTTCTACCTATGAACTTATCTGTGTTATAAAAATCAGTCAGTCTGCCCTGTGCTATAAAACCAGTCAGCACCATGCTTGAAGGGAGAGGGAAAAGGAGTTAATCTCCAGTTCTGCCTAAGGAATTGAAAGGCAGATAAACTTGGATTAACACTTTTATTCTTTGAGAGTTTCAGGATTACATCGAGACCAGTTTTTGCTAGGCAAGCGTTCTACCACTCAGCCACACACCAAAGCCCATTAAATCTAGACCAGTTTCCAACCCCGGAGATAAGTGAAGGTCAGCTTCACTCTGGAAGGGTCCCAGGGAGGGCAAATGCACCATGCTGGATGTTGGTCCTGACACTCAGCAGCCACAGAGGAGAGAACTGTCTTGGACCAAACACTGCTGCAAACTGTTATTTCTCAGGGGCAGCGCAGTGGAGAAGGGACAGAAGAGTGCCTCCAAGTATGGCACAAGAAGTAAATCCTAACCATCTCAGGTACAGAAAGACAATTAAAATCAGGAGCTTCCCAGGGTGGATCTCTAATTCTTAGCAAAACATATCTCCAGGGACAAAACCCATGATTGACTCCCACTGCACTGTCAAGCAGAAAATTAAACCAATAATCAAAGAACCTCAAGGCTTTTAACCTTTTGAGAGTGAGAAAGAGAAAATGAAAGTGTTCCAACTATATTGTTTAGGGCTCACTTTCCAATAAATGACTGAACCAAAAGTTCTAAATCTCAGCCTGCAAAAGAGATACTCCAGGGACAGACAGAGACTGGTAATAATCCACAAGAAATCTTAGCCCTAGGACAAAGAGCTCCTCAGGACATTTTGGGTTCTCTGTCTACTTACTTAGGCAACTTTCCTCCATAGTGCTGGCTAGCTCTAGTTAAACCTACTCTGAAAACATGTATACCCAGGTATCTGTAATACACTTAAGAAACTCATAA